GAGCCCAATGGGGCAGCGTCAGGCCTCCAGGGGCCCCAGAGGGGGCACAGGAGAACTCCCAAGTCTCTGCTCGGTGTGACAGCTGGGACATGTGCTTTGAGACCATTGGTGAGGGACCATGATACCACATAACAGATTGCCACCAGCTCAGTAGGTCATCTGACACGGCACGGTTGGGTTTTCTGCTCAAAGCCTCGCTAGGCAGAAATCAAGGTGTTAGGCTGGCTGGGCTATTTGCAGGAGGCTCTGGGAAGGATCTGCTTTCAAGCTCATTCAGGCTGTTGGCAGAATCCAGTTCCTTGTGGTTGCAGGACTGTGGCCCCCATTCCCTCACTGGCTGCAAGCTGGGGGCTGCTCTTCACTCCTAGAGACCACCCCCATTTCTTGCCACGTATCCCCCTTCATCTTCAAGCCAGAAACTGTCAAACTCTTGCGCTCCCAATCCCCGATTTCCCCCTCTGCCCTCTGGGCTCCAATTCAAAGCATACATATGATAAGGTCAGGCCCGTCTGTCTCAAGGTCAGCTGGTTTGGGACACTAATGATCTCCCTATAGTGCCTTCACAGCAACACCTCGATAAGGGTTGGATTGGATAACTGGGAACCATGTATCTGCACGAGGGGTGGGGATCCTAGAATTCTGGCCCTCGCAAGGACCACCTGCTAGATACAACCACGTAAGGGATCAAGTGGGTTCTAAGCTGGACAACATGGTTTCAAATCCCAGCTCCCCCACAACTCAATGTGTGTGGCGCCTGGGACGCATGTCCTCCATGAGCCTGTTTCCTCATCGGCAAAATGGGAAGAAGCATGACCTTGTTAAACTCCTCTGACCCATTCGTCTTCCCTCCCCTGACGCTAGAGCTGCCCTGCCCGTTGCAAGTCTGCCTTGTCTTCGTAGCGTGAGAATGGCGTTTTCCCTGCTTTCCCCACATTCTTTGCTTTTCTGGCTTGTGACAAGGCTCTTTCAGAATGAGCTCACTGGCTCAGGCTCTTGATCTCCCCAGTTTGGCAGGCTGGGCCAGACTTGGCATGGGAGAGAAATGTCAGTGGGAAAAAATCTGCTTAAGAAAAAAATATGCATGTAGTAAAATGCATATCCAATTCCAACATAAACATAATTGCACACATTGGCGTGTGTTAATGAGCCCGAGGTAGGAAATGTTTGGTAGGTCTAAGCGAATTTCCATCTGTTCCCTCGCTGCTTGGCTCATGGAAGATGAGACTTTGGGTTTTAGCCTTCTGGTGGAGGCATTTCTCTGTGAGCATCCTGTTTATTCCATGGTCATGGGCCTTTAGAACCAAATTTGCTTGAAAGCCCTGTGAACTTATTAATGGAGAAAGATCGAGCAAGGACTCTTGGGTAATATGAAAGCCAGTGGCCAGTTTTGCGCAAGTTCCAACATGGGTGGTTTATAACTAATTGGAAAAACATGCCTCTTCTCAGTTGACTTAATCCTTTCTGCAGTGCCCAGGACTTAAGTGTTCCCAGAAGGCTTAAGGGGGTGTAATTGGCTCTCAGGGTGGTCACCACAGTTACAAAAGGGGCAAAGAGCTCATGCCTATGTCTGAGGGTCTTCCAGGTACTGCCCGCTTGGTCTCGGGAGCAAGGACCCTGCCCGTCACCAGCCTTCTTGGCTAGGGCACAGGGCTAGGTGTCAGGGATAGAGAGGAGGGATTCGTCCTGGCTTTAAATTTAGCCTTCAAAACGAAAGACTCTGGAGGCCGAGTTTGGGGACCGGGCAGGAAAAGGAAACAGGTGACATTTAAGTCCTCTTGGAGCCAAGGAACCCCTCACCCTTTGATTAAGAAGCACGGTGTTGGGTCCTTCCATCCTTCTATAAGGCTATCTTCAGAGATGCAGAAGCTGACAGTCCTACTTTCCCTTCCTAGTTGGGGTTCTCTGTTCCCAGGGACAGATGAGCTGGCTGGGCCCTGGCCTCACCAGTCTCCTTCAAGAGAAACCTCTGTCAGCAGAATGAAACTTGGCCATGGCCAACACCGTGGGCTCCTCTGGTCCAGGAGGTGCAGAGGCAAACGTGACCTCAGGCCCCCAGGCCAGAGGGACCCAGGGCATCCATGACCCAGCTTTGCTGGCTGGTCTCCATCCGTGGGCCTCTCAGAGCTGTTGGGTGGTTTCAGGATGAAATGCAGCCTGTGGAACACCCTCTCCCCGTGACCACAGCGTCTGTCCGAGGGGGGTGCCGACCAAAGGTGATACTGTTGTTAGAGTTATAAGGGTTTGTGGTTTCCTCTCTCTGTCCCCACTTCCTTCCTGAAACCCCAAAAGAGGCTTCTCAGGAAGGGAAGGGACTTTCAGATCCGGGAACACAGCTGGGAATGGCTGGTCCCAGTTAGGCTGGCTGGCTAGAGCCCGGGGTGACTGGCCTGAGCTGTGGGTTTGATCCACCAGGGCCACTGAGACACAGCTGGTCTGCTGCTGAGCTGGGCCAGCTATGGTGCAAACACCACCTTTGTTCAACCCTGGGAGCTGTTCCAACATTGAAAAAAAAAGGGTTGTGGAGACTTGTCCTGCTCAGGATGGGCCACTTCCAGGGACCCCATAAGGCCAGACTGGGTCCTGTGCCTCCCAGGAGTTTTTAGCACAGAATGCATATGTATAAGGGGTCCCAGCCCTTTAGCGCTGGCCCCTCTTGTTCCTAATAATTTCACAGTTCTGTGAAATGGACCCACTCTTGTGCAAGTGGGCTGCTAATCCTTAAAACAGTCAAGCTGTTTAAGGCTCCTTTAGGAAGTAGCTGCAGGATGGTTACCCTAGAGCCAGAGATAGGGTGCCCTGTTTGGAGGGGCTCTTGTCGCTGGCCAGCCCCTTGCTTTATGGAAACTCTGACCTGTTTCAAGCACCCGAGAATGTAGGGATTAGTGGCTCTGAAGCAGAACAAGGTACAAAACTTGTGGGGCCCAGCGTAAAATGGAAACACAGGGCCCCTGGACCAAACACTATTAAGATTCAAGATGGTGATAACAGGGCATTCGGGCAAGCGTGGGGATACTTCTTAGTGTAGTGTACTGACTCTGCAGTGTGCTTAACCCATGAAGCCAGCCCTGGTCTGGAGAGCGAGTGCAGGGTGGGCATCTGGTCTGGGCGCACAGATGGATTTGTTCACCCCACCATCTTTTCTGGGCTGTCAGCCCGCTGAGACTAGTGAAATGAGCAGGGCTTGCCCTAGTCTAGGCTGAGAGGCTGGCTGGGTGTGACATGTGGTGGCGAAAAGGTGGGGGCAACTGGAGGGGCCAGGGCTCCGGGCCAGGCAATGTCTTTTCTCTAGAACAGGAGGTCCCTGCGCATGGACACCTGACCTCATCGTCTGTCACAGGGCACAAAGCAAAATACAGAAGACCAGACAATGATGCATTAAAATTGCCACTCCCCAGGTCATCATGTTCCAAAACCACCTGTGCTTATGGGTGATACATCTTTTGTTACTTCTATCAGAGAAAACTGACCAAATTGATGAACTTCAAAAGCAAATCCATCCCTGCCAGGAGACCTTACTCCATGTGAACATAGAGGGGTAACCCAAAATGTGATATTTGCTTCTTGTTTTCTTTGCTTTGGCCCACAGCCCTGCGCGTTCCTGCAAATGTTTTGCCTGTGGCCAACCCTGGCTTCCACTGTTTCTAATGAATTCAGTGGTCATTCTTATTGTTGTTCCCAGGAATGGAATGTCTCTTTCATCCTTAAGCTGCTTTTAAGATTTTTCTCCATTTATTTGGTTTCCATTAGTTTATGATGTGCCTAGGTGTGGTTGTCTTTGTCTTAATCTTTTTTGGGGTTTGTGGAGCTTCTTGGATCTGTAGGTTGGTATCTTTCATCAATTTTGATTAATTACTGGCTATTATCCCTTAAGATATTCTTCTGGCCTATTCTCTCTCTCTCTCCCTGTGGGACTCCACTTACACATATATCAGACAACTTGATGTTGTCCTGCAAATCTCAGACATGTGTTCTTTGTTTCTTACTCTTTTCCCCTCTCTTGCCATTTCATTTTTTTAAAATTTATTTTTTTATTCTTACGTTAATCCCCATACATTACATCATTAGTTTTAGATGAAGTGTTCCTTGATTCATTGTTTGTGCATAACACCCAGTGCTCCATACAGAATGTGCCCTCCTCAATACCCACCACCAGGCTAACCCATCCTCCCACCCCCCTCCCCTCTAGAACCCTCAGTTTGTTTTTCAGAGTCCATCGTCTCTCATGGTTCGTCTTGCCATTTCATTTTTAATTCTTGTTTCTTTCTGTGCTTCAGTCTGGATAACTACCATTGACCTATCTTCAAATTCACCAATTGCTCTCTTGGGCTGTGTCCAGTCTGTGGTTAAAATCCTCTGATAGGGGCGCCTGGGTGGCTCAGTCAATAAACGTCTGCCTTCGGCTCAGGTCATGATCCTGGGGTCCTGGGATCGAGCCCCGCATCGGGCTCCCTGCTCAGTGGGGAGTCTGCTTCTCCCTCTCCACTCCCCCTGCTTATGTTCCCTCTCTCACTGTCTCTCTCTCTGTCAAATAAATAAATAAATAAAAATCCTCTGATAGATTTTTCATTTCAGATATTTGTATTTTTTCAATTCTAAAACTTCTATTTGGTTCTTTCCTAGAGTTTCCATTTTTCTCTTAAATTTCCATCTTTTCATCCATTGTCCCGTTTTACCTCCAAATTCTTTAACATATTTTTCAGGTCTTTGCCTATTCCAGCATCTGGGTCATGTGTGGATCTGCTTTTATTAATTGTGTTTTCCTGTTTCACACAGCTAGTAAATTTGGATTGTATGTTGAACATTGTGGGTGACATGTTCTAAAGATTCTGGATTATATTATCTTCCTCTAAAGAATGTTGCTTTTTTTTTTTTTAAGATTTTATTTATTTGTGAGAAAAAGAGCATGAGTGGGGAGGAGAGGGAGAAGCAGGCTCCCTGCTGAGCAGGGAGCTGGATGCGGGGCTCAATCCCAGGACCCTGGGATCATGACCTGAGCTGAAGGCAGACGCTTAAGCAACTGAGCCACCCAGGCACCCCAAGAATGTTGAGTCTTGTTCTTGCAGACAGTTAAATTGACTGACTAATCACCTTGAACGTATCAAGGCTTGGTTTCAGCTTTGTTAGAATGGGTCTATTTGAAATCCCACCTCCTCCTCTCCCAAGTTCTAGCATATGACCCCTACTCCTAGGGTATGCTCTAAACTCTTAAGGCCTGGCTTTTTTGGGGGTGTCAACTGAAAGCCTCGGATGATTAATCAGAATCTTTCCCCCTAGGGTTGGAATTGTATGACCTCTAATATTTCTGTTCAGTTTACTTACCGTCCCCCCAACACACACATCCAAGCTGTTTTCCACTAGACCTCAGAGTCTCGTTCTGCACATACACAGCTTAGGATCTGGCCAAGGATCTGAGGTGAGCCTCTATGCAGATTTCTGGGGCTCCCTCTGTGTGGCTCCTTCCTCTCCTGTGCTTGCCCTGCAAGTCTTAGGTGCTCTAGCATCTTTGAACTCTGATCTCTCTTACTTCCAGTTAACAAGACCACTGATCTCTGTTTGGGCTCTACATCCCTGCTTAGTGTCAATTCTTTTTCTCCTTTCTAAAGAAAGCCATGGTGAACATGGACTTCATCTCAAGTACTTTTCTTCTCAAGATCTGCAGCTCTGTGCTGCACTCTCCAATTCCTACAGATGATTATTTTGTGTATTCTGCTTAGTTTCAGAGTTGTTTAAGATGGGAGTGGTAATAATCCACTGAGGCTGGCTTGCAGACTTTTAAAACTTTTTATTAGATCATAAAACATATATATTCTGGATTTCTGGGGTTTGAGTCCTGCTTAGAAAGGACTTTCCTACCAAGAGATGGTTAAAAGTTTCTTTGGGTTTTCTTCTAGTACTTTAACAGTTTGATTTTTTTTTTTTTTATGTTTAAATCTCTGACTCATCCGTAATTCATTTGGATGAAAGAAAAAGGTAGAGGGGCACCTGGGTGGCTCAGTCGTTAAGCATCTGCCTTCGGCTCAGGTCATGGTCCCAGGGTCCTGGGATTGAGCCCCGCATCGGGCTCCCTGCTCGGCGGGAAGCCTGCTTCTCCTTCTCCCACTTCCCCTGCTTGTGTTCCCTCTCTCGCTGTGTCTCTGTCAAATAAATAAATAAAATCTTAAAAAAAAAAAAAAAAAGGAAAGAAAAAGGTAGAGGGGTCTAACAGTGTTTTTCCCAGATGCTACCAAGTCATTCTAATACCAGTAACTAGAGAGCACTTCCCTCCACTGATTTGAAATGAATTCTTTCCTTATATGTTAAATTCCTGAATGTATTATGTGTATTTTTCACTTCTGTTCCATTGATACATTTTATATACCTTTTCATACATATATTTGTTGGTATGAAATTGTTTTAATTACTATAGGATCATAATCTGTTTTAGTACCTAATAGTGTTAGTTGTTCTTTTATTCTTTCAGAAATTTTCTGGTTATTGTTGTTGTTTTTAAAAATTTCATGAACTTTAGAATCAGCTCATGTAGTTGAAAAATTATGTGTGGGCACATAGATCCCAGTGGGGTATTGTCGTTGAGATCATATTTACATGTTACATTTAAGAAGTTGCTTTTTTAGTGGCTTTATTTTTATACCTTCAAAATCACCCATTTTAAGTGTACACTTCAGTGATGTTTAGCGAATTTATAGAATTGTGCAGCTATCCCTGTGGTCCAGTTTTAGAACACTCCACCCCAAGAAGAGCACATGTGCCATTTGCTGTCCCTCCCTATTCCCCCCGCCAGCCCCAGGCAGCCGCCCTCCCACTTTCTGCCTTTACTAGTTTTCCTTTTCGGGACATTTCATGTAAATGCAGTCCCACAACCTGTGGTCTGCAGCATCTGGCTTCTTTCACCCAGCCTACTGTGTTCGAGATTCGTCTCTCTTGTAGTGGGTACCAGTAATTCCTTTTCACCTCTGAGCAGCCTTCCATAGCCCAGACACACCACACCTTGTCTGTTCATTCATTGCAGTTCGTGGGTGCTCGTGCACATCTTCATTTCTCTCGAGTAGCAACCTAGGAGAATTGCTGAGCCGTATGGCAAAAGAGTGTGTAACCTTTTAAGAAATTGCCAACCTGTCTTCCTTCCAGAGTGGGCACGTCATCTCACACCCCCACCACGTGTGAGGGCTCCAGTTGCACATCCTCCCCGACACTCAATATTGACAGTTACACCTTTCTCACATTGAGTTTTTTCTAGATAAGAACATATGCAGTACAGCTTTCTTTACATTTGAAGCCTTTTTTCTCCTCCAGGGGCTTTAAACAGATCGCTCCATCTGGATTGTATACATTCCAGTGCATTTGTTTCTGGCAGTTTTCTTTTTATGGAGTGGGGGTTGCTGTTGGAAACGGGACATTTTCTTTTGTTAACTTGTCCAACTGCTTACTGTTTGTACATAGGAAGGCTAGGTATTTGGGTACGTTGCTTCGATACCCTATCCCTTAGTGAAATCTCTTTCTGTCTGCCACATTTTTCCATTTCTTCTTTTGGACTCTCCAAAGTAAACACAGTTATTTCTCTCCTTTCTTTCTCCTCAAATTTCTTTTTTTTCCCCCCTCTTAACTACTTTCATCAGTTAGAATCATCCAAACAAAATAGTAGTGATAGGGGGCATTCTTTAGTTCCAGAGTCTCATGGAAACTTCTCTTGCTTCCAACCATTACAGATGATGCTGATTTTTGGCTTGATGGATGTGTGAGTCTATGTGTGTAATTTTATCATGTTAAGAAAGCATCCTTCTTTCTAATTTGATAAGAGATTTTGTTATAAATGGTAAATTTTGTCAAATGCCTTTCAGCATCTATGATGAGCATGATTTATCTCCTTTAATACATTAATATAAAGTAAATTAAAAGATGTCCTTATCATACTGTACAAGTCTCACTCGGTTCTGGTGATTTCTCCCTTTAATGATCATGGTGGATTTTATTTGCTAATACTTTATTTGGGATTTTTGCTTTGATTTTTATGTAAGTGAAGTTCATCTGTGGTTTTCCTTTATTGTGCTGTAATTGTTGGCTTTCTATATAATGTCCCTGATAAAAAACTTGGAAGTGTTTCTTCCTCCTCTAGTCCCTGGGTCAATTTATTTTTTATTTTTTTATTTTTTTAAAAGATTTTATTTATTTGCCAGAGAGAGAGAGAGAGAGAGGGAGAGCACAAGCAGGGGGAGTGGCAGGCAGAGGGAGAAGCAGGCTCCCTGCTGAGCAAGGAGGACCCCAGGATCATTACCCTAGCTGAAGGCAGACACTCCATGACTGAGCCACCCAGGTGCCTGCCCTGGGTCAATTTAAATGGCATTGAGATTAGCATTCCTAAAGGTTGACTTTACGTTGGTTCCTTCACCTGGGAAAGGATCCATGCCTGAGGTTTCTCCCTTCCCCTCCCACCACGGGGCTTCAGGAATGGTGGTATCTCTGCAACAACCTTCCCAAGTTTCTTCTGGTATAGCTCTTTTCCCTTTTTGGTATGTTGGGGAGGAAAAGATTTCCTCTACCTTTCACAGATTCTTCTGGCTGGTCTAAGAATTAAATTGACATGAGACAGATTAACAGGAGGAAACCAAATTTAATTTTATATGTATGGGAATCCACAGGAATACACAGGAGAGGTTCAAAGACAGAAAGGAAAAATGAGGTTTATATGCTGTCCTGAGCTAAGAGACGGGATGGGGGTCTGGGGCTTCAAAGGGGGAGGAGGGCATTGGCAGGGCAATAAGAAGAGCAGATGTTTGGTAATGAGATGTTTGCCCTGCCATACAGATGAATCATGCAGATAAACTTTATCTCTGGTAATAGCCCTTAGTCTGGGAAAGACTCCTCAGTTTGGATTCTTCTGGGTACTTAGGGAGGGGCAACATTCTCTTGAGCTTGCAGGGTCTCAACTGCTTTCAGCGCAAAATAGTTCATGTGCCAAAGTTGCACATTTTGTGGAGACTTGTTCTGAACCCCTTCAGGTTCTTGTTGGTACTTCCCCACCCCACCCCACCCCACCCCCCGCCCTCAGAAAATCTGTCTCCTCTAGGCCTTCAAATTTGCTTGCCTAGACTGTGGCCTCGACAGCCCCTTCTTGTCTTGATTAGCTTAAACCCCCTTCCCCACGACCAAATAAAATAAGTCTTAAGTTGACTTAAAGTTACCATTTTTCTCTTAATTTTTGAAAAGTTTTACATTCAGAAAATGCTACATTCTTCCAAGTTGTTCTTGGAGAAATAGACTAAGATATACATCATCTCCCAGAGCCCCTGGGGCAACAGGAAGTCACTGGAAAGCGTCCTCTGCATTCAGCAGCCAAGCATCGGCTCCACTCCTCCCCTGAGGGTGGAAATGCTGGCCAGAGAGCTTCAATATGACCTCACTTCTACCTCCTTCCCTGTCTTTAAAGAATAATCCATAACTGAGGTTAGGTAATAAAAGCTCACATGGCTTTCCCCAAGATGTGTGTTGACTGGGTCAGTTTCCTCCTTACTTAGACAGTGGTCAAACATAAGCAGTTTTCCCTCGCCCCCTTTTGTTGTAAAACTCAGGCTTCACTCAAACCATCTCATGGAGACTAGATCTGTGAAAAAAAGAAAAAAAATGTATTGATACTTGCTCTTTATATGCTTTAATTTGGTCGGAAGCCCCACAGATGGCAAGAACGGGACTGACAGGGGAAGGGTAGCAGAAGGTGCCACCTGAAAATATGCCCCATGGGGATAAGGATTTGAGGCGCTGGGAAGAAGCAGACTCAGGAAAAGCTCTCCACCCTTCCCCTATTTGTCTAGAGCAGTACTAAATTTATAAAGATTTCTCCCTCCCCTACCTACCTGGAAGGGCACAGGTTAATCCCTGGAGAGAACTCGAGTCCCTTAGCATCACCAGACGGATCTGCATAACAAAGCCGGCTAAAGACTAGCCTTAACCACCATTAGTTTCCCAGTATATCTATCTTCCCTCAATGTTCTGCCTCTAGAAGCTCGAAGTCCTTCTGCTTTGACTTATCTCTTCTCTAAAAATGTGTTGTTCTTTTGTTAACTCTCTCTTTCCTCTCTCTCTCTGTTACTCATGTGAGTGTTCCCATGTGCATGCTTGATGCACATGCTAATAAACTTCTGTTTTCCTCTTGCCAGTCTGTCTCTTGTCAGCATAATTGACAGGACCCCAGCCACAGAACCCAAGATGGGTAGAGCAAAAACATTTTTTCCCTCCCCTACAGAAGCTTCCTCCAAGAAACGACCTGCATGTTATTCTCCCTGAAGACAGAAAGCAGCTTCAAGTAGGAAGGGGTCACCTGCCTCCTCCGTCCTCTTCCTCACCCTCCTCTGTCTCCACCTTCCCCTTCTCCCTCTAGGCTTCTGTCCCTATAAACAGGTACCACTCATGGCTACCCCCAACCCGTCTGATTTCAGAAACAAAAAAATTCCCTTGAGCCTGTATTTCCTTCCTACTATTTTTTTCTACTATAGTAAAATGCACATAACCTAAAATTTACCATTTTTAAGTCTCTCATCCAGCAGCATCAGACACATTCACAATGTTGTACAATCACCCCCACCATACATTTCCATAATGTTTTCATCTTCCCTGAGACTCTATACTCATTAAATACTATCTTTCCATTCTGCTCTCCCTTTCAATTTTTTTTTTTAAAGATTTTATTTATTTATTTGAGACAGAGAGAATGAGAGAGAGCACATGAGAGGGGGGAGGGTCAGAGGGAGAAGCAGGCTCCCTGCCGAGCAGGGAGCCCGATGCGGGACTCGATCCAGGGACTCCAGGATCATGACCTGAGCCGAAGGCAGTCGCTTAACCAACTGAGCCACCCAGGCGCCCTCCCTTTCAATTTTTAAAAATCTCTGGGACAAACAGCATCATACCAATTATAAAAGGCATCTTTATTTTTTTTAAGTTTATTTTTCTTTCTAAATAATTTTTTTTTTTTTAAACAGGCTCCACGCTGGGCGTGAAGCCCAACACGGGGCTTAAACCCATGACCCTGACATCAAGACCTGAGTCAAGATCAAGAGTCCTATACTTAACCGACTGAGCCACCCAGGTGCCCCTAAAGTTTATTTTTCCTTTTAATGATCTCTATACCCAATGTGGGGCTCAA